ATATCACTGCAAACGATTTCTCTAGACCGGACCCTTTTAACCAACGTTTTATAGTTGTGTCTATTTGGCTAAAAATGAAGAGTAGAACAAGCGGCACCTAATTATCGCATGGAAGGGAAGGGATCGGGAGGGAGTGAGAGGAGCGGGGGTCTAGTGGTTGCCCCTCTAAACTTATGCCAAGGAGCGACAATTTCCCAGCGAATAGGAATTACTACTGGTGACCGCAATTTTTATGACATTCTAGGCAAAGATAAAGCTCTTGGTTTGGATGAATTCCTTAAGGATGCACCAAGAGTTCGACTTCATAAAGGAACGCTTGGAGGTGATTAAATGCATATCTGGCCCTTACAGTGATGGTGGACCAAGGCAGCGGTAATTGATGCCATGTTCATCGTAGGGCGCCTCCGACCACTGTGCCACACGCGCTTTTGAGATTCTACGTATAACGGAAAACTGCACAATATGCCATAACGATAGAGACTACAGAGAATAGTTCACGAAGAATATTGTGTATTTTTCACTTTAATATGCCTTGTTTTGTTCTTGTTTTTATTGTCATCTAACCTATTGCACCACAAGTTACTTGATACAACGTCCGCATGCCTGCTGTACATTGCTACTCCTTCATAACCGTCGGGCACGCGACCGGGCACGGCAACACTGCTTGGCGACTTGATCTTGTGACCTTCGCCATTTAGCTGGATGTTAGTCATGCCCCATAGTAGTGCCAATTATCTTCAGATTAGGCGTGATAGCCTTTGCCTTTCGTCATAACATAGTTGCGCTTAATCTTCCCCTTTCTAAACTCATGCGATTTTCTTAGAGTGGTAATAATGTTAAGTAAAGTCTCATGCTACTCCATAATCAACATATCAAAGTTGTCATCAATCGTCATGTACACACTACACGGTGTTAATCTAGCACCTGTCTCAGATACTCCCACTGTTTATTAGCGCTCTACAAAGTCACAGCTGCCACATCAATTCATTTATTTCAATTCCACTACACACTAATCCATCGATATCATTTGATCCATTTGTGTGATGTGTGGATCTTCTGCGCTGGTAATGTAACCTCGTCTTTGTTGTAACTTTCTTGCACAGTGGTCACGTAAATAGTTACGCTGTTGTAATTATACAAATATTATCAGATAAATCAGATAAACAGTATTTCCAATTACATCTCACACCTTTCCCTTATAAACCTGCTGCATAATACTCTACATCATTGCTAACGCAACCTACGTATACTATGCTACTACTGTCCACTGAACCAATTTGCTTTGTAGTACGCTGCATACACATTTTTAATCTTGTTGCATTGTCGTATACATGTTATACAAAATAGACTGTTTAATTGTCCACGTTTGAGGTTGGCATACTGCTACTTGGCGTGGCAGAACCATCACGCAACGACGGAAACCTCATTGTGGAAACGGTGAATGCACAACTGCGGATATGGTGTGCCAAATCTTTTGTAAACAGTGAGAGGTCGAATATTTTGGCAAAACGCATATGTCGTTCAGGTCCGCGTAAAAGAACACCTAGTCAATAATCGTCGAGTTCAAAAAATATTCGGTATTTTGAGCACATAGTTCACAAACACATAACAGGGAAGATGGTGAAGTAGAAATCAGTATGCTTGCACAGGAGCCTAAAACTTCAGCGAGTATAATACTCGAAGCAACTTAGATAAATCCCAAGAACCCAAAAATGAACCGCAGCTAGGAATGCTTCGTTATCACGCGTGATCTCACACAACATCTTAGACTAATATTTTATCGTAAGAGAGGATCATTACCCACCCGTGTGAACTCTGCGCGGTTGGTCTCCATGTGGCTAGTGGGACACTCAGTGCAAGACTAATAGAAAACAATGAATATGAGAAGAAACTTCTACTTCCAATGCGAATGAAATTTAGGTTCTGCGGTTTTTCTGTGGAGTTCGATGAGGTATTTGGTTCACTAAATCGCAGTCAATTTGACAGTACCAGGCTATGAAGAAGGCGAAATTGCCGAAATGTCAACCGGTGATGTAATGAATAAACGTTGAACGACGGGTAATTGCAGATTGCATTGATCGATAGAACTAGCTGACAGACAGGTGGAACGATGGATCCGAATGGTGTGGTCGTAAACGCATTAGCCTCGGAAAGGGTTATAGAGCGTTCGTTATTACCGCAGACACCTGCGGTCCAGAGTTTTGCAAATGTCTCAGCATCATAGAAGTTATATTTCGCAACATACCCTGCCATTAAAAAGAGTAAGCAGTAAATAAAAATGTAGGGCTTGTAAATAAACGTTGTTATAAACAACAACAACAACAACAACAACAACAACAAGAAAACACTAAATCATTGAGCAATGTCGAGTTTAATAACTCAAAAGACCGACCCTCTATAAACCTCGGCATATACAATTGATATATTTATTTATATGGTCTTACAAACTAGTCTAGTCAAAACCCTACAATGAATAGCAGGGACGAATGCCCGGAGGTCATACCCGACCTGATCCCGTACGTTCGCATCGATTTTTGATGTGGGATGGTGCAGTCGTCAACCATATGCGACTATAATCAGCTGTTCTAATCCTCTTCACTGGAAGTCACGTAAAAAGCGATGAGTTCTTCGAGAAGTTGTTGATCATGTAATTACCATAGAGTCTTTCGTCTTTTTGTAAGTGCTATTGAAGCGTTTGGCCTAGTAGATTGTATATCAGTATACCCTTCCAGGCTCTGAAGAAGGCGATACTGCCGAAACGTCAGCTAGCGTTGTATTGTATTGTGTTTTTATGGAAGTAAATGTATGCTGTTTAAAAACCTCGCGATTGCTGAACAAGAAAACGACACATTCATATTCCAATGCCGAGGTTAAGAGAAAGTCGATCCTGGGAACTATTACAAACTAGTCTTCTTTAGCTGATGCAAGGTTGGTACAGGTCTTCGTTAAGCGACCCATCACATCAAATGAAGTAAGTTGCGCCATTAAGAGATGCTTTTAAAAAAGTGGTCATGAAAATTACGTAATGATTACTGACAACCCAGACAATACTCTACGCCCTCAGTTAGTTCGCAACCGTTTCTATGATCGTTTGTACAGCTCAGAAAACTGCACTATCTCTCCTAACGACCCAAGAAACGGAGATTGCAAGAGTACAGGTATAATATACTTGATCCCATGTAACGCATGCGGTGAGGAACATATTGGGGAAAGGGGTCGACCACTTTGTGTCCGCATAAAAGAACACCTAGATGGGAAAGTTAAAACTTGTCAAAACACTCCTTTAGGTACGCATAGGGCACAAAGGAACAATGGTAACGATTTTGAAGTGACTGCGCTCCTAGTATCGTCCTTCTGACTTCATAATCAATAACACTGAGTGATCTTTCATTCTGCTTAAGCAGCGACCAGGTTTCCGACGCATACGTTAGGGCAGGAAGTACCGTTGAATTGAAAAGGTGGGCAAGCTGTCGGGTGTTCTTTGTCCTCTTCACTACACCCTCGATGCTCTTGAAAGCTCCACAAGCCGCTCGTTTCCTTCTGCTCAACTCTGAAGCTAAGTCGTTCATCTTGTTGACTTTCCGACCCAGATAGACATAGCTGGAGCATTAAGAGATATTCGTTCCGTTGAGCGTGAATGGGGCATACAAAACCAATCCGTTTCTCATTAACATTGTTTTCGAGAGGTTTCGTCGGAGACCAACATTTCCACAGGCTTTATCAAAATCGACAAGCATACGTTGCGATTGGCTAATGTTTGGTGTTATAAGGACGATGTCATCAGCAAAGCGAAGATGGTGTAACTGCCGACCATCGATTTTCACTCTCATATTATCCCATTCCAATGTTCGCATAACGCCCTACATGGCGGCGGGAAATAACATTGGGGAGAAGATATAGCCTTGTCTAGCCACTCTTTTGACACCAATGTTAATATCGTTGCATAATGGCGATATCTTGGCTGTGAAATTTTTGTACTTCACGAAGAGCATGTACTGAATAGGGGTTCCTTGACTATCAAGAGCATCCATGACTGCTTCTATCTCAATTGAATCACAGGCCTTCTTTAACTCGATGAAATTGAGATAGAGCGGACTTTTGTACTCTCGCGATACTTCAATGAGTCTTGTTATCGCGTGGATGTGGCCCATCGTACTGAATCCTCTTCGAAACCCTGCTTGCTCACATGGTTGTTCTTCCAGTGTTTTGTCAATCCCGTTTAGAATGACTCGAGTGAAAAGTTTGTAGACGACAGAGAGCAAACAAATTGGGCCACAGTTGCGAAATAGCGTGGACGTCACCCTATTTGAACAAAAGCACGCTACTGCTGGCCTTCCACTAAGAAGGACGCTTACGTTCAGGGATGTTGCATTCAGACAGATAACGTGTGAAGAGCACAGCCGCTGTGTTCACGAGGACTGGCGTAGGGTTCTTCATGTGTTCAGACCTTATCCTCTCCGGACCTCGCAGGTGAAAGCCATTTTTACATATTCATCCTTCTTTATTTCACAAGAGGGAAGGAGTACGTGACTACAAGAGATCTGAGCCGTAGTCGTGAATGATTTTCTCTATTACCTTTCAGAAGACTGTAACTGTTTCGTCGGAGTGCGATCATCTTGCTTTTGTAATTAGCGAAGTTCCGGTGGGTATGTAAATACTTCTACCAGTCAGCTTCTACCACAACTACTGTTTTTCTCTTTTTAAGATATTTTATAAGGTGCGTGTGGTGCAGTGGCCGGAGGCGGTCTGAAACACACGTGGAATCGATCCCCGCGTCCATGACCCACCAAGCCTTCCATCTCTCTGAGGTCGACACATCGGTACCAGACTTGTCTAGGAGGATGGCTATATACAACGGAAGGCGACCGCAAGTCATTGTAAAAGCCAGATATGCATTCAATCACCTCAGTAAGATACTTAGTGAAGTCGAATTCATGGCGCATCACTCAGGGATTGATCTATGCCATGCCGAGAGCTTTATCCCTTATTTTTAAAATCTTTTATAGCATGTCTCCTTCATTTTGGATATTCGGATATGAGCTGATGGTCGCCTGTATGATTCCACGCCAGCGTCCCGGCCCGAGTTTTTCCGAGTGAAGACAGACGTCCCTTGGTGTCTTCGAACTCCCAGCTTTCAAAGCGCTAACCTGAAGACGTTGAATGAGCCGACCGTACTCCTTGTTGACGTTACCGACAACAGCGTCTTCCCAACAGTTTACTGAAGAATTGAATAAAACCCAGTTTACGGTGGTTCTGAGACTTCACTTTCAAATTTCGCGGCTTTTTTTTCCTTTCGGCATGGAACAAAATCTTGCACGAAGGAGGCGACGGTCTGATTCCATGTAGAATTTTGGGACAACGACATTGGTAAGGCAAAAACCTTCTATTTACTACGATGCGGTCTATTTCGTTATGGTGTTCTTCATTGCGAGACTCCTACTTCCAGCGCTGAGGGTGGGGCTCCTGGAATTGCGAGTTACCATAGATGGTCTTGGTCGCCATCATAAACTCAGATAATCGCTCACCCTGTTCGTTCCATTCTAATCAGTGGGTCCCAATGTGACGCTCTTCAGACGTTCTTTTTGGTCCAATCTTGGTGTTGAAATCTCCAATGATGACTTTGAAGAATGTGCGGTCTTCTCTGTAGAACTTCTCCAAGTCCATACAGAACGCTTCGACTTCTTCTTCGTCATAGTTTGATGTCGGCGCGTAAACTACGAAAACTGCAAGTGCCGGAATTGATCCACGTTTTTTTAATCGTAAACTTCCGATTCGGGTTGTAAATTGTTCGAATGAATCGATGTTCATGGACAAACTCGTGTTGACGAGGACATCGAAGCTGCGGGCTCCTCTACCGTTGCGTGTTCCGAGAAACAGCTCTTCTCTGGTGTCATAGACGGCGTTGAATGTGTGGCGTTGTCTCGTATTCGCCAGTTTCATGACTTCGCACCTCACCTTTCTTGCCTGCATGATCAAGTCTTCTATCGAGGAGTCAGATGCAAGTGTGTGTGCATTGTAAGTACAGATTATAGCAACTATTCCCAGAATAGTTTCTATTTCTTTCTTTATCTATTTCCACCTTTCTATTACTGCATGTTTCTGTACTAAGGACCATATCCACTGTTTCTCAAGTTGTATAGCAAATGTCGTAGTACGTAAATGCTTTGATTCCATCCTAAGAAAGTTCGATCGTTATAAATAGTCTTGCTATGTAAACCTCTTTTTGCAATCTTAACTTGTTGTTTGTTATTACTGTCCAAAAGTCGTCATGCGTACAATAACAAGAACGGCATGAGGATGTTTACGAGAGTATTCTTTCGCCCGCTCTCTGGTTTTGAGAGGATTTGGAAACGATAGCCGTCGAATGTTTTCAGTAAAGATGCTGAACCTGTGCCAATTGCCAATACCGCCTTCTCCAGAAGTATATAAATAACCTCGTTAATTGCTATTCTGATTCGTCCCTGTTAGGGTTCGCCCGCTTTTTAGATCTGTACCACATTGTTCTCGTGTGTCACCAATGTAGATTATCGTAGCTGTTAAGTCATACTGCACGTATTCATTATTGTACAATAACTTCGTCATATCATTATTAAATGACAGTTGCGAATTGTACATTAGTTTAGCATCACCGTCACTACGTCACACTTCCCATCAGCCCAGTGTATCATCATCATCATCATCATCATCATCCTCATCCTCATGTCAATGTTCATTGTTTATCAATTTGGTCTGTGGTGCGTTATCAGTAGCGGCGGCTATCCTCAAATGCGTTCTGTCTGCAACGCCATCGGTAGCATATACCATTCCTCCCACACTGTACGCCATCATTTCTCAGTCGTTATTTTTCTGGCCCATGATATCTTAGGCAATGGTGGCAGCCATCGATGCTCAAATTTCACGTTGCAGACATCCTTATCCAAGACCAGCTGCCTGACCGTGTTCCGCAGACGACTCATTTCGTCTGTAGTCACTTCAACTATCGATGATAAGGTAATTTGCTATCGTCATCGATTAATGTGAAGGTGCACCCACCCGCTGTAGATATGATCCCAAGCACAGTTTAATGCACGGCTTGTCTGTATCTCACTATTCTGTTTTCCTAGCCCTCGGCATCCTGGGCCACAGTACGCGCCAGTGCGAGTGCCATCATCCGTATCCCCTTACTTGAAATTGTTATCAAGTTGCTGTTACCATAGTACTAATCCTGTAATAGTGTTATTTACAACAGTCTTATGTCTTTGTTTTCCTCACTTCAGGTACAGCACCTCATAGTATTGAACTTGCCTTATTTGTGTGCTAGCAGTTTTCCGTCGATGTTAGTGCTGTATTGATGGCGCACTTATGTAAATCAACGGTTTAATTACCCAAGTTTTATGTACAACCCCGCGACAACTACGAAAGTCCCGCATGGCGTCTCGTCATGAAGTCGAGCAATCTGCTTAAAGCTAGTAGCCATTCGGTGCCGAAAACTGACTCGAAGGCGTATTTTCCACTAGCAACTGCATTACAGATCGTCAACTTAGTCGCTTGAGATTTGGACAGCCTAGAATGGCCCTAAGATTTTAACAGCCTCTCCGTACTCATTCTACCCAACGCTGCCGGATCGGGGGCCCGTTCGGAGTCAGGTAATGGTGCCCCTTTCTTTTCTGTGTTTAGCTTTTTGATAATGTTCAAGCCATGCTAATAACATTACATGACATTAATAGTTAAGAATGAGTTTAATGTTATACTATTAACAATGACATATTAATGACATTATAACAACAGCAATTATTAATTTGAATATCACAAAAATATAAAACAAAATATCACTGTCTAGGCATCTATATGATACGCTTTTAGATAATTTCTGGCTCTTCCGATAAGATAATAATTCCAATATAGTAAAAATATAAAACAACAAATAATACTATCTAAGCATCAGTATGAAGCACTTTTAAATTTTTTGTCTCATTCGCTAAATATTTTTACTTCAGAACCTCACCACTAACCTCTTGTAAAAAGTGCACCCAATAAAGTGCTTCAAAATGATTTCATCTTTACATTTAGGTCTATTTCTATACGGTGACAATGACTTCGCCCTTTTTCTAATTTACGCTTCTCATACTTTGCATTAAAAAAGAGGTTTAGGGTACCTGAGTTCAGGCTCCCGATCTTTGACGTTTAGAAAATTATTCTCTGTTGCGTTACGGAAAGATGACTTCGGAGGCGATAACGAATGAGTAAAAACATTACGGGAACCGAATAATGGTTTTTTTTACAGATTCACTTCATTTTTGTGTATAACCAGATAGACCACTAATCATAAATGCTTACTTTCTTACTATGTGCTGCTTTGTCACATCACCGCATGCGAATATATGTAACATTCCGTGCTTTTAATATGAGATAATGAAAGTTAAAAAGTAGTTTAGAAAATATGCCTAATTCACCTCTCCATGATGGTATGCTTCTTCTAAGGCTACAGCAGCCGCAAGCTGGTTTACTTTAATCTCCTTATTCGAATTTCTGTGCAATAGTGTATGGATTACTTTCCGCTGTGACGGTTTCAAACCGTCCACCACAGACGGTATCGAACGCTAAAATGATAAATCGACTAGGTCTACAGAGAAATGTCACTCGTATGTCAGGAAACAATTTATTGAATCACCAATTCGTCAATGCACGAAATTGTTCAAAATAGGTTCCTTTAGCTGATAGTATCCTAGGAGAACATAAGCACCTTACGGATGCCTCTTCCGACATTTTTTTCGTATATCGTGTACTAGCATATTTACGCCACATTTCAGATACGTATTGTGTCAAATCAAAGAGATATGTAACGAATGCACAAACTTAAAAGTTCAACCCAAAGTTGTGTTCGCTATATCTATTTCTGATTAAGCTAGAATTTATTCGATGAACGGGTTCCTTTATCTGTTCATGTTTGTTGATGTAATGGCCTTCCTCTTAAAATAACTCTACAATCAGAATAAGTGGCACAAAAGCAGATAACTATGGTTTTAGCCACGATGGTCCACGATGTATAGTCTCTGTTTCAATTCTATCCAGCTGATTGGGTGCATAAATATCTTCTTGGATTAGTAAGTTTGATGGTACAAGTAGCGCAGCGGTCAGAGATGTTTGGGAATGCAAAAATCGTTTCTGGTTCGATCTTGGTTCGAGCAAAGCACGCATTCCATCTTTCCACGAACGGCAATTTAGTACCAGATTTTCTTGGAGGATAGAAAACACTGACTTGATGCATCGGTGAGCTATGACAAATCGCTTTATATATGGCCAAATAACATCCCAACAATATTAGATGCGGTTAGACATATGTTCGGCATTTCTCTAACGAATAACGAACTGATCGACGTCGAACCCTATAACATTTAATACCCCTTTATTAATAAGCTCATAGGAGGTTGTTACAAAAAACTCATTGTGGCTGATATTTTAGCGCATATGTACTCCTTACCGTCTCAATGAGTTGTCAAATATACACTGTACCTATTCGCTGTGTTGTTTGAGTCTTCAAGGCAGCATGAAGTCGAAAAATTATTCATTAGCTTTTATCCAACCTCCTTGATATTTAAAGTATGCCAATCTCTTCGAAGAACTTTTAGGGCAATCTCAACAGCCATCCTTTATGGCAGTTACAAAGATTACTTTGGTCTCGATATCTGAGTGAGATAACTGTGCGTAAGATCCTCTGAAGGATAAAAAATAGGCGATAAGCAATCCTCGAGAGTTGCGTTATGCCTCCGCCTCCGTTAGAGGTGATTAAATGCATTTCTGGCGTATACAATGACTCGTCGTGGTCTATCGATACACCGAGTCAGTGCTGCTGTCCTCCTAAACATGTCTGATACCAAATTGCTGACCCCGGAGTGATGGACGCCTTTGTGAGCCTAGAACGCTGGATCGATCTCATGTATTGTACGGAACCTCTAACCACTGCGCTACAAGCGTATAACCCTCTATCTCGATTTGTTCATGAGTGCAGATTTTATGGAGGACCTGTCGATAACGCTCCAAATAGGTTGGTAATCTCGAAAATTACATATCACATTTCATGTGCAGAATTGTGTCAACATTAATAACAGTAGGAAAAAAACTACAACCATCTGCACCCATGAAAATACCGGATCAAGCATAATGACATTTTGTGTACCTTCTCAAGAAGAATACCGGACACAAAAGTTTGACTCGATGCGAAAAACAACACCTAGATCGTGAGGACAACCACCATAGACCGTCGACTCAGATCAATTAGGCACTGAAGAAGACGAAGACGTCGAAACGTTCGCCGAACTAGTCTTTCTTTTTTACCAATCTCTTGCCAGCTTAACCCAAGAAGATATTGAATCTCAGATAATTTGCTTTCAGATCCAAAATTGCTTGTCTGATCAAGAAGTTCAAACAACACAACAGAAAAAGAACACAATTACGATGGTGCCATGTGTTGTTAATAAGCTTAATAGGAAAGATTTAGCACACCAGCATCCTTACAGCGGTGTTTTTTGAAAGAAAGTTGTGATAAATAATACCCCTTCAGAGCTCCACCAACTGCGCAGAGAAGGCATGGTGCCTAATTCGACAAAATTTTTTGATATCTGTGCTTTCTTATGTGATAAAATAGAAAATGCAGTGGAAATTAACAAATCAACAGGTGTAGTGCTGTCTGTCTGCACTGTCTTCATGAGGCTGACAATTCTGATGAACAAAAATAAAGTCCGCTTCTTCATTCTCAGACCACCGTTTATGACAAATGCAGAAAAGTTTCAGCGCATTTTATAGGTAAAATTTTTTCTTTTTGAAATGGAATCCCGTTGTAATCATCGTTCTGTGCTTACTCACACCGCCTTCAGTGATGATAACAAGGATTAAAAATTTTAAAAAAGAAACGAAAAACCCTCGGAGTGGGAGAAAGCAGGAATGGATGGTCTCGTTCATTTACCTCAAACAATACCTAAATATGTTCCTAGGATTTCTCGAAACCATATTCATTAGATCAAATAAAGGCGTCATGAAACGACTAGGTGATTTTACCACACCAAACTAAATTTTGAAAACAAACGCCACTCACTTTCAAATCCAACCATGAATAGCGAAACAGCTCGTTATCAACAAAATTCTTATACGTAGAATTACTTGTTGGCGAATCATCAATGGTCATATCCTTAAAAAAATAGTCAATTTTTACACTCTTTCCACCACTAAACAATAGATTCATTGTTACTGAACAAGAACTAGAAAAAACCAGGATTTATATAATGACTCTCTTGTATGGAATATATTCGAACACGAGAATGTCACAGGAATTTGTTGCAATCTTAACCGCCCACTATGAAAAATTGTTGGCCAGAGTCAAAAAGAAAATATCGTGCTCTGTGCTAACTTAATCCCACCCCTCCTGAATATGCAGACTGGTGCTAGAGTTGCGTGGCAGGTTAAACAAAAACGCTGAATTCATGGATCGGCCGGCCACCATCGATAGATCGTTGTATAGGCTAGATATATATGCGTCGTTTTCTTGTTCAGCAATCCCGAGGTTTTTAAACAGCATACACATACTTGCATAGAAAAACACAATACAATACAACAGGTTTCGGCAGTATCGCTTTCTTAAGAGCTAGGAAGGATATACTGATATACAATCTACTAGGCCAAACGCAACAATAACTCTTACAAAAAGACAAAAAACTATGGTAATTACATGAACAACAGCTACTCAAAAAACACCACTTTTCACGTGACTTCCAATGAGGAAGTTTGGAACAGCTGATTGTAGTCGCATATGGTTGATGCCTAGTGGGGTACTTTGTCTTAGTTTTGGTTTGCCATCTAGATATTCCTTTATACGGATACACAAAGGTCTGCCCATTTCGCCAATATTTTCATCTCCGCAATTATTACAAGAGATCATGTATATCGTACCTGAACTCATGCAATCACCGTCCCTACCGGGCAAATTACGCAATTTGTTGTTTCACAAAGACGGTTATCCAGGCGGTTACGAACTAATTCACGACGTATAGCAGCCGGTGGTATTTCAACTTCCGATACCGATTCCTCTAGACCTGCCATTCTTAAACATCGTTTTATAGCTGTGCTTACTTCATCGCTTACAAAAGCGATTTTCTTTCGGCCAAGTGTATCGCGAGGGCGCGTCGCTCTCCTTCTAAACTTATCTCGTGGGGTCACTATTTAGTAGCCATTGGAGATGGCTAATTGCCGAACCAAGTCGCCCAATTCCTCCTCTAATTTCCTACTGGTGCACACAGAGGTGTTTCTCACAATCGCCCTCTTCGTGTGTGAAAGGTGGGAAGAAAGGAAATGAACGAGGATGTTCTTGTTACTTCGCTTTCGGTACCACTTTGTCAAGTAACCGCTACTTGATAGGTTTATTTGAACGTTCACTGCAGATATGAGATGAATATTATTGCGAAACGGGCAGACTTTTGTGTATCCGTATAAAAGAACACCTAGATGGCAAACGAAAACTGAGACAAAGTACCTCACTAGGCGCGCATAGGATACAAAAGCATAGCGGAGACGATTTTGAAGTAAAAGTCAATATCCTTGCACAGGAGACTAAAACACCAGGGCTAAAACTTTTTGAGGCTTTTCAGATAAACGCCAGAAACCCTACAATGAATAGCAGGGATGAATGCCCGGAGGTCATACGCGACCTGATCCCGTACGTTCGCATCGATTTTTGATGTGGGATGGTGCAGTCGTCAACCACATGCGACTATAATCAGCTGCTCTAAACTTCTTCACTGGAAGTCACGAAAAAGCGGTGGGTTATTTCGAGAAGTTATTGATCATGTAATTACCAAAGAGTCTTTCGTCTTTTTGTAAGTGTTATTGAAGCGTTTGGCATAGTAGATCGCATATCAGCATACCCTTCCAGGCTCTGAAGAAGGCGATACTGCCGAAACGTCAGCTAGCGTTGTATAGTATTGTGTTTTTATGGAAGTAAATGTATGCTGTTTAAAAACCTCGCGCTTGCTGAAAAAGAATGTCGGAGATTCGGATCCAATCCCTTACTTGAGCGGAACGGGATACTCCTAGCATCGTCCTTTTGACTGCGCGTTCGATAACACTTAGTGACCTTTCGTCCTTCTTCTGAACTTGACGTCTGAACTTGCAAAACAATGCAGACAGGCGATAAAAGAAGATCTTAGAGAGAAGAGCATCAGTAATGTGCGAAGCTGTAGAAGCTGGGAAAAGCATTCGGTAAGCTCACGGAAGCTTCGCCAATTACAACACCAAGATTATGGCACTCTGACGCCTAAACGGAACAGTTACACCGTCCAGAAAGGCAATGGAGAAAACTATTCACGAATACCACTCAGATATCCTCGATAACCAAGTCCATCTTCCGTCATATGAAATAAAGGAGGATGGATACGTTGTACCACAGGTTCTCTCTTCCGAAACCCGACATGCCATTTCATCGGTAAACAGTCGATCGGGAACAGATCCCGACAGGATAAGATCCGTTTCAGCATATTGCTCATCCATGTAAGACTCTATTCGGTTGATCTCTGTCGGTATAACTGAAAGCTTTATAAGGAATAAAATGGTGTTTGAAGGGAGTTGTTTACTATGGAAAGGAAATTTTACTATTGAGCTTTTCATGCTGAGGTTACTAAAGTGGTCGGCTGAGTATATTGCACTCAACCTTTGTAGGCTTTGAAGAAGAAGAAACCGCCGAGACGTCAGTTATTATTTTACAAATCTTGTTATTCACAATCTCGTG